CCCCCCTCTAAAGGCCGTGTCACTGCATTCCGACCTACCATTAAAAAAAAAAAAGATACAGTGAAGATTAGCAGGGCCCCTGAACGAGGTTTTTTTTTTCTTTTTTTCGGGGACATAAACAGGCCCTTCTGGTCCTGGCTCCATAATGCGTCCATATCCATTTCTAATATTTCCAAGCAAGCACACACGAACTCTACATACTAGAAAACCTTATTACGATGATACGTTTTTTTTTTGTTTTTTTTTTCACGTACCTATCAGCGCACACACTCACACGGATCTCCGCACCTAACTATCTCCTGGGGCGAGGTCCCATTAGCAAAGAGGATTGGATTAAGCTCCTGAATCTGGGCGTGTTTTAACCTGAGATGCAGATAAGCAGTTCAATCTCGATTTTCTGCATCTTCCAACAAACCCCTCTAGATTCAGGCGTTCAATCCAATCCTCCTGGTAGTGGGACCCCGCCCCTGGTCTGAGCACTTCATCACAGGGCTATCGCCTTCGTTCCCTTTTTATAAGCAACGAAGAGGGCGGGGGGATGGGATAGAGCACCGATAATAAGGCTGAATAGAAATGAAGAAGAACAACAAAAAGGGACAAGGTTYTTCAAAAAAAAAAAAAAAAAAARAACAGACACAATTCTTCAAAAAAAAAAAAGAAGAACAACAACAAAAACGCTGAATAGGAATGGAGTGGCAGTCAAACAATCGCCCAGGCTCAATTCTTCCCTCAATTTTACCTTTCACTACCTAACTAGCACTTAATTAAAAAAAAGACAACAGAAAAAAAGGCCCCAATCTATAAAAAAAAGAAAAAAGAAAAAGACACAAAGGGCATACTCACACTAGCACTTTCCTAAATATATCTGACAAAAAATACGGCTGGATTCTAGGCTACCAGAGTGGCACGGGTACACTTGCCCGGCCGGGCCAAAAAGAAATAAAAAAATAAAATTTATTTTCTAATGTAAATGTTTATTTAAAATTTGGTAAAGAATTTCGATGTCCTTGAGGCAAAAGTTGTTCGGTTTAATTTTCTGCATAACATAGTTTTTTTTCGGATTTTTTTGATTTCGTGTCTTCTTTTTTTTTTGGCTGGGACCCGGGCGGCCCGGCTGGTAGCCTAGGCCGGATGTCAATATCAATGCATCTGCCCGCAATCACGTCCAGAGCTGAGTAGAAAATGTCCTAGTGTGTGTACGCCCTAAAACTTGGGCCGCTGTTGCAGCCCAGGACACCAACATGGCAATGAACCGTCGTCGCTCGTTTTAGAATTTCATTCCAAGATATGGTGTTTTTTTTTTTTTTTTTTTTTTTTTAAGTTTGACTGAAGGTTAGATGCAGATTAAGGAAACTGAAAAAAAGGTTGACTGAAGGAAGATCAATCGCAGTCTAAACACTATGGGCATACTCACAGTAGGACTTTTTGGACTGAGCTCTGGACGTGATTACCGCCAGGTTCATCCAGGCCTGTCCGTTATGGCAGTCAGATACATTAAGAGCAAAAGTGCCGGTGTGAGTATGGCGTAATAAATGAACATTGAGGCTTCGTTCCACAGCCCGAGAACACTAGAATTTCAAAAGCCACGAGAACATTAGAATTTCAAAAGCCGCGAGAACACTAGATGTTCAAAAGCCACGAGCACACTAGAATTTCAAAAGCCACGACAACACTAGAATTTCAAAAGCCACGAGAACACTAGAATTTCAAAAGCCACGATGTCAAAAACCTCGGGCGTTGATGTAAGAGGAGTGCTGGGACGTGTCTTCTCAGCGGGAACATGTTGGTCGTTTATTCCTGCTTGGGCTTGGACATGTCTTTTTTTTTTTTTTTTTTTTTTTTTTCGGACATGTCTTTTCAGCTGAAACGATCTACTTGCCTTATAGTGCTTTCCCAGGTGATCCAGATCTTTGATTTTTATATTTGGTCATCCAGGTTGGACTGAAGAGGTAGAAGCAAAAAAAAAAACAGAAAAAAAAAAGAAGAAGAGACAGAAGTCATTTCGTTTCTACAGACAGCATATCCCCTGGGTGTCCCAGGGCAAGCAATGCTGTCCTCCAGGTTGTCTTTTCCTGGTGATACACATTTCTTCTGTTTTCTTTTACCTTTTTTTGGTCATCCAGGTTGGATTGAAGAGGCAGAAGATTGATTAAAAAAAAAGAGAAAGGAGGCCGAAGACTTGCGTGTCATCCTTGCGCAGGGGCCATGCTTGCGCAGGGGCCATCAACATTGAGGCTTCTGTTTTCTTTTACCTTTTACCTTTTTTTGGACCATTTCTCGATTTATGCGTGTCATCCTTGCGCAGGGGCCATGCTAGTCTTCTCTGTATCGTTCATATTTTGATTTTTTCTTTTTTTTTGTGGTCATACGGGTTGGATTGAAAGGGCAGAAAATTGATTAAAAAAAAAAAAGACAAAAAAAACAGGCAGAAGACTTTTTGAAATAGAACATGCGGAAGTTTTTTTCTTTCTACAGGCAGCAAGCATATCCCCTGGGTGTCCCAGGATGTCCCAGGGCAAGCACTGCTGTCCTCCTGGTCGTTTTTTCCTGGTGATCCTTTTTTTTTTTTTTTTCTCTTTTTTTTTGGTCATCCAGGATTGAATGAAGAGGCAGAAGTCTGCAAAAACAAGACGATGCAGAGTCTTTTCCTTTCTACAGGTAGCATATCCCCTGTGTGTCCCAGTGGGTGTGCAAGGGTCCCCCAGGGTGTCCCAGGGCAAGCAATGTTGTCCCTCTGTCTACTCGTTTGGAACTCATCTGGTCAGTCCCACGTATCCCAGTCTTTATCTGTTGTACTGTGGGACGCTGGGCCCGATTCCCAGCACATGCTGCTCTCCATGAATAGAGTGCAGCATTCTCATTGGTGGAAAAAAAAAAACACAAAAATGAAAATAAATAATAAATCGCAGGCTCTGCTGTGAGAAACACGCGGTCAAAAAGTGTTAGCATTGCTGTTGGTGGTTCGTTGGGATGTTGTTGTGGGAGGGGGAGGGCGAGGGAGGGATGGAGGAGGGTGATTATTGGGGGCTGTGGAAGGAGATTATCATGCACCCGGAAGAACAAAGGCTCAAATAATAAGGGTGGCCGGAACAAGGTCCCGGTCCATTGCGCTTTACACTACCTGTAGTGGAGAATTAGGATGGACATGCAGTCCAGATTCGTTTTCGGTGGGTTGGTCTCCAACGAGCCCAGTAGTTTGGGTACAACAGATTTATTGCCCGAGACTCGCTCTTTCTTTCTCTCTCTCTCTCTCTCTCTCTCTCTCTCTCTCTCTCTCTCTCACACACACACACACACACACACACACACACACACACACACACACACGGAGAGAGAGAGAGAGAGAGAGAGAGAGAGAGAGAGAGAGAGAGCAAGAGCGTGCGAATGCAGAGATTATAAGTAACGCATCATTAATTAAAACACTTACATTGCGTGGTCGGCGTGTTGTCTTCTTCTCTGGAAAGCTCGGCGAGAGGAACACTGCTCCTCGCCACCGCACTCAGACTCCCGCATGCACGTTTCCTCCGCTGCTTTGACGGAAGCCCTCGTCTGTCTTTGACTGCACGACCTGTTCACCCCTTGACCGCCTCCGTCACGGTCACGGTAACTCTCGTCCGCACCTATACCTCTGGCTCCGTCGTCTGCAACTCCCGACACAACTGCTGTCTCCGCAGGTGACCGGCTTCCTCTGCTGCGTGGTCTATCCC